ATGGCCAGGAGCACTGTAGTTTAGAGGACAGATTTAATTGACTTTAATCTACTCACTTCGGCATTTGCCTTTAACAACAACAACAATTCTCTGATATAGTACACAAGCACGGATTTGCATTAAAACAATCTAAATGATTCAACTCCTGTCGTCAGTCCCGTATCTTCCTACTGAACCTGGACTGGTGACTTGTTGTCGCACTTTAGTGGTAGTGCCAGATTTACCACAACTGACGGAGCTTACACGTCGCAAGGAATCGAGTTGCGCGTTTGCTCAATCAATTGAAATGCTCCAATAGCTTCCCATCCACGTCTCTATAATTGTTTTTAAATGTGACGTAATCTTGGGAAACATACAATTTGCCGCTCATCAGATTTAGTTGCTACTTCCCGATCGGAAACATGAGTCCTTGTCTAACCGGTATGGCTGTGTAATTGTCTTCTATTAATAATACTTGTATTAATCCTGTACAAATGTCAACCTCGGTTGCGAAGTTCACACTGCCGCTTATCAATCCGCGTGTATCTTGCCGCGACAGTGTACTTGTGCTACCAATTACCGGCAAATAGGAACCGGTGAATTTGTTTTGTATCCGTGTGCCAACACCTAGCACACTTAAAGTTTCTTAACCCCCCCCAAAGCGACGGCCTGTATTATACACGTTTCGTAGGGAGGGCTTATCCTGTATAATACACGATAAATGGTGCATGAATGATCTGCTTGTTTTTCACCTTGTTTTTGTATACGGTCATACAAACGCTAAGCCAAAGAGGGATAGGTATGTGAAGCCTGATCCCCATCCTTCCTGGTGCGGTGTGCGCAGGCGGTGCATTGCACAACTTTTCATAAAATAAAAGTTTAGAGGCAACTCAGCGATATGTGGTTCACGCCAAATCAATATAAGAAACTGCAGGGATTTTCAACGCCACTCATTTTGGCGCTCATTTCAGAAAACTCCCGCTCCCAGTCAGATGTCGGGGTTTCGGGCCCGGTGGAAGGAACTACGGCAGGAGGCTGGTCTTCCAAGCCTCCTACAGGCCTCTCAAATGACCACACCTATCTGAAGCCCGGTAAAAACAAGACAGACGTGCGCGGAATAGACTTCTTTGTAGGGGAGAAGGAGCTGATGTCGTATTTGGATCGACTAGACCTCGGTAAGTTGTTTATTCTAATGATGTATTGAAAACCTGAGCCTAACCGTTGACGCGTGTATAGATGAGCTTGCGAGGCAAAAGGAAGATGAACGACAGACCGACGACGCCACACACGCATCCTCGAGGCAAGACGATGGAGCCACTCCACCTGATGACGCTACTACACCTCCAGCAGGTATATATTACAACGCCTGTACATTACACCGTACCTGTCTAACACTATCGTGTATTATGCAGTTAGTACAGTGCGTGAAGAGCCACTCTCAACCACCCCAGTACGACAACAGACGCACCCCAGCTCTCCAATGCAATCTCACTCCAGTGCACCTCTAATTACTACTTCGCCGCACGAAGCTGACGACGATATCGATGCTTTATTTTCGTCAAGTCCAGACACACCCGGTACGTTCACTGTGCCATCCATACAATTCGAAGGTGTTGTAGCTAACTCTTTTCAACGTTGTATTTTTCCAGCTGTGCCAACCACTTCAAGGCGCAATCTGTATGAACTGTTTGGGTCTTCTGATGAGTCAGATGACTCTAACGACTCTCCGCAAAGCCCCACAAATGTGCAACAGTCCGCAGACGGCGATCGCGTGGACGCGGCATCGAACGCTGCGTTTTTCTGTTCGTCTTTATCTGGTAGGCTCAAACGTGTATGTACACGATATACAATTCCTATGTATACATGATACACATACATGATATTAACAACTATCATGTATATTTTTAACAGACGATCCTAACATTGTAACGCTCGGCGATGACAAGTATGTCTTTGCAAGTCTTGATTCGGACGAGGAGGGGGGAGGATTCTCTGTGTACGACGATGATGAGGAGCTGGAGCTCGCTGAGCCTGATCCCAGCATTGAAGATGAAGATGTCGTCCCACCTGAGCTTCCATTTGATGCGTCTCTACTTGAAGCAGTAGGTGGTGTTCACGAGATTGCTCGTGGCAACCTCAAGGCTGATGTTTTAGCCGACATGAAGGAGGACGGGTGGTCTCCAGTACACAATCAGACGCCTTACCCATACATGAATGAACCCTACGACATGCGTCGCGATGATTGGGCAAATATTGACTATCCGGATCTATTTCGCGGTGAACATGGACCAACTGCTGCAGCGTTGAGCGCTGCCGAGACCCCAATTGGTGCATTTTTCAGCTCGTCCCGCCGTACTTACTAGAAAGAATTGCGGGTGCTAGTAACGACTACTTTATGGAGAACCTGGACGCGCGAGTGGAGAGTCTACACGCCAAGCAGCTAGATAGGAAGCTGAAAAGGCCTGATTTCCATGTCTCACCTCCGGATATCATAAAGACTAAGCTGCTGAACACGAAGGACATTTCAGGACGAGAAATTGCTATTTTTCTTGGATTACTTATTGCAAGAACGATAGCTCCCAACAAAGAGAGGTTTGATAACCATTGGAAGACTACGGATGAAGGTGCTATTCCTCGTGGCTGTTTAAAGCATTTATGACTAGAGATCGCTTCTATCATATCTCGCGGAATCTCCATTTTAGCAGCAATGCTGACGCAAGAGCGCATACCGATCGAGCTTGGAAACTCCGCCCGGTGATTGACGTGCTGCAAGAAACATTTCAGGCAAGTTTCATCCCACCTCCAATAATGGCGTTTGACGAAGCGATGCTTCCGTGTACGTCTCCGTTCAACAAGATGAGAATCTTCATGAAGGACAAGCCCCATCGCTGGGGCACAAAGCTTTTTATGCTGTGCTGTTCCAAGTCTGCATACTGCATCAGGTAAGGAAAAGAGCGTGCCTTCGGGCACGCTCTTTTTTTTTTGGATTCAAAGTTACCTTATCGTGTCTTCGGCGTGCTAAAATCTTTTGAACTATTGTGTATATTACAGGTTTGAAGTCTATTGTGGAAAGCAACAAATGCAAGACAGTAGCACACCCAGTGATGAAAAATCGGGACCTGCCGCAGTCGTACGGAACTTACGTCAAGTCTTTGGCGTCAACGGACCAACTGAGCGACGTCTCATAGTCACCGACCGGTTTTACACCTCTGTCGTGCTGGCTATGCAGCTGCTGACCATGAACTTCTACAGTTTGGGCACAATAATGACGAACAGAAAGGGGCTGTGCAAAGCAATTCTACCAAAGAAGACTAAAAACGGCAGGAAGGAATCAAAGAAGCGACCAGCACAGATCGTCAAAGGAACGTATGACGTAGCCACCCTCCAAAAGGTGCCATCGATCAAGGCCGTCCGTTGGTGGGATAATCAAGCGGTGTATCTGCTTGCTGCTGGAGGAAGTGCAGTACCAGACCGTATCGTGCGTAGGAATCCAGTAGCTGGAGATCAGACAGAGTTGATGTGTCCACGGATCGTTAAAGACTATCAGACTTTCATGGGCGGAGTCGACGTTCACGACCAGTTACGTCTACAACGGCAAGTATTCATATCCTGTATATACACGTTGAAGCCATCGTTTTAACATGTATTGTACGTATTATTAGGTATTCACTGCAATTGGCTCGGCGCTACAAGAAGTACTACAAATCTCTCTTTCTGGGACTGATAGACATCGCTATCATCAATGCTTTCATCTTGCACAATTACCATCGCGCGGCAACCGGGATGCCAAGGGTTTCCCACGTGACTTTTCTGAAGACGCTTTATCTACAGCTCTGTCAGTTGCTACCGGAAGATTGGGTGCAGCTTCTTCGCCACCGCGGGCATCACGCGACGCCAACGCGGGCACGACAAGCTCGAGCGGCGCACATGCCTGTACAGGCCGACGAGTGGCGCAAAGGAAACTCCGATAAGACGAGAAAGCGTAGGCAGCGTGCGTGCAAGGTTTGTTCGGTGCCAAAAGGCGCTGCCTTCTCGAGGAGGGGAACCGACATTCTACTGTGCTGAATGTAAGCTGAAAACAACATCAAGACACGAGTTAGCCGCACGCGTATTCCTCTGCAACAAGGTGAAGCATTGCAGCAAAGGCGAACCTACTTCGTGCTGGGATATCTGGCATAAACACTGGAAAAATGGGACTATGGTCCCTCAATCAGGACGCAAGCGCAAAATTCGAGCCCGGAAGCCCGCACGCGCTGCAAGTGACGGTGGCTCTGATGCCAGCGACTCGGAGTCGCAGTCTAGAGCTGAAATCGGAAGTGTTTCCTCTCAGGGTCGTTCGGGATGGCGGCCACACACCAACGATGACGGCATCTAGTGAGATCGTCGTCAGAGCACATGTTCCGGCTTCAAAAATAACTTGATTTGAATATATGTTTTTTTGTGCAGATCGCCATGTGGAATCCTTCTCTAAATATCGACAAAAATATGACTCGTCACTCCCCGCTAGATGTGTTTTTGTACAAATGTTGTGTTGTCTTTGTTCACTCAGGACACGATATCAGCGTTATCGCGTACAGTGCAGACATGTTAGTATACCTGATATACGATATCGAGAAATGAAGACCCTAGGGGTGGGGCGCTGTACCGACTCTGTTAAATACACGATAAAATATAGCTGGGTCTTACTATTGTAACCCACTATCCATAACGTGTATGGGGTTTCGGTAAATAGGCGCAACGAAATCCGCTCGCTTTGGGGGGGGGGGTTAAGCTGAAGCTTTTATCGCAAATACATAATTCAAGCCGAGCCTAATACCGCTCTTATTACGATTTACCACATCGTTTTGTGGATATGTTTCTAATAATGATAAGATACAGTTTAAATTAGGATCCCTCGCGTCCAGTAATTCAGCTGTCACCATTGAACCACATTCGTAGGAAACCGAAGGACAAGTGCCAGCTCCAATCTCATTCTCAATTTTTCTCTCCACCCCCGCGTTAACAAGTCAAGACGACCACCAATGCGAGCCTACTTTGTCCTACTGGTTGCTGCAGCTGCGCTCCTGACCTATGGAGGGGCGACGGCCACGTACTCGACATCGAAGGGGGAGATGAATTTAACCGGAACTGTCGAAAGTGACCGCCCGACTCGCTCTCTTCGGGTCGCACCCAGCGGCGGCAATGGTGAAGAAAGATCGTGGTCAACCATTAACGGAATTTCCCGATCGAAGGCGGAGACTGTGAGAGATTGGTTGACGCCCCAGCTTAACCAAAGAGAACGTACAGGCGTTCGCCAGAGATGTGGGGATTACTTCGAGACAGGCGGCTACTCACCATGAAAACTGGGACGCTCTCGTTAAGTACCTGAAGATGTATAATTACGCTGTAAAGGGCGAGAAGATGTCGAAGTCGATGGCTGAGAGTGTACTCCTCAATAACGTCCTGACTGCAAAAAAACATTTCTAAATCGTCGAGCATTGTGTACCAGGAGAGAACAAAACCCAAGTAAAGAAAAGGTTGATTAGCATTTCAATCCATTAGGCTTGCTAATTTGGCTTAAAAGAGAGAGTCAAACGTCTCTGAAAATCGTTCTCATTTTGTGTACTTACTGATGCTAATGGCTTGGGTATTATTCAGGTGATTTTATTTGGTCGTAAATTTAACCACGCACAATGTTCTTCCACCTCGAGTTACCTGTAAAAAAATCAAACAGCCAGAACACATGGCAGCATGTTCCTTCGTTAGCTCAGCCTACGCCAGGGATAGATCTCAACCGAGGCACCCTCCTCCTCCGAAAGCAAATTTCGGAACTGTATCCGCTCAAACGTTGCTGGTTAAGTAAATCCCACGTTTTTGAATCACACTTCATCATCTACAGTGTGTAAGTGGTTTTACGGGCGTACATTATAGAGAGCGTTTTTTTAGGATTACAAATTCGTATTCCGATACTCGAAAGGTGTTTCAAAATCTAAAGTAATCAAGTTTGTAGAGTACTAGTTTAACATCACATCGATAATTATTGCTACTAGTAGTATGTATCAGTGTACAATTAGAGGGGAGTTGATCTAGCGTTTTAAGCGATACCGCAAAGCAGTACGCGATTGCTTTGCGCATTAACCAAAAAAATAACTGTAAACACGAGATTATTAATGTATGTAAGATTTGGCTTATGTGTTCTTCATGAACGCAGGTAAATGGATTGACTCGATTGGCTTCGCCCAAGTTTCTTCTCTCCATATCGAACATTCGATCTCTGAAACGAGTTTGGCCGAAATAAGACGACTGGCTTTTGAAAGTTGCCGTGGATATCGCTCGCTGTCACTACTCATAGATTAAACAATGATCCATTATAATAGTACATATCGCTAAAGGATTTCCCATAAATAGGATTAAAAGTGGTATCCCAACCAGCTTATAAACAATGTCCTTAACGTAAAGGTATCTGTTTAAAAGTTTATAATACAACCCCCCAAAACCAAAGTCAGCTATGCGTAAAGTAGCAAAACATATGACTACGTCGGGGATTGTCTATGCTAGTACTAGTAAAACAGGGTCGGTTTGTAAAATATTTTCTAAAACAAATTATAATAGAGGCCACACATTTACCAGTTTCTATTAGGTATAGAACCTGATGGTACTTACTATCGGATACAGAATGTTCGAAGCTCAACGTGCTAAAAAATTAAATTTCAAGAAGGTCATTTCAAGTGAGTACCCTTTAGTTATTTTCCTGAGATTTGATAAAAACGTAACTTGAGCGAAGATTGAAGATCAAGTTTATGAAGTTGACACTTTACTCGCCTTACCTTAGCTATCGTCGTTTGACTCTTTTTACACCGTTTACCTCTGCAACCTGGACGGTGTGGGCCTGCTGACGGGGAACTACCGAAAAATACTGACTGCGCTGTAGATCAAAGTGCTTGTAGTGAGTTTGGTGTCAGCTACGCACGAAGTCGAGCACGAAGATAATCCAGTTAGAGAAGGCTATGGTGATCCAGGCCAAGCGGGATAAAAATATTGTCGGTCCAACAGACAGAGTTGTGAACTATCAGGCGGAAAGTGCCACGGGCCTGGGGTGTCCGCTACTTGCTTACACGTAGTGACGAGGAAGCGTACAAGTCCAGTGATACTGAAACCAAGTACTTAGTCTGAAGGAAAATCAACTCTGTTTCTTATTTAGGTCCAGGGCGGCTTGCCCTGACCACTCAAATACACGTCAACTCCTTATTGGTTGATTATGGGTCTGGCTCCCCATATTTCAACCAATAGGGTGACGGCAGTTCAGCACACGCTACTCGTGTGCTGCTACACCTACTTTTGTAATGCAAATCTACCTACTTATGTACTGGTGTGGGTCCTCTACAAAGAACCCTATAAAACTACCTACATATGTAACTTGGGAGGGCCCATTACAGAAAGGAAGCTGTAAGCAGCAGAGATGATGACCTTCCAGCCAAAGTCACGCTGTGAAAGTACAAAAGTTAAACGATCATCAACAAGTCAATGCAGATCACAAGCCACTTGGGCATGAAAATTTTGACAATGGGTCTGATACGGTTTAGGTTGACCGTTTTGATGATGTTTCTGATAGCTCAAACTCAGGAATGGCGACTTCAGAGAATATTACCAACACCACACAAAACAGAAGTGCTATTTTCTGCCGCCTATGGTGCTCGAGACAGCGAAGACGAGCACTTTTGTTGCTGCTGCACCGGCTCAGCATGGCTAGGCGTGACCGTTGGAGTGATTACTGAACCGTTTCACTATTGGCTGAATCTGCTTCTGGAACGCCATTGGGTAATCAGATGTTGGAGCGCTATGATTGGATGGAGGCACAAAGCATTTGTGATTACGCCACACTTACGAGAAGACAACAAGAGGAACAACAGAGAGATAGGCTTAAGAGAGACATGTCGGACAGTTTTGGCTAGCACTATTTACTTGCTTCGGCATTTGCCTCTTACTCAACAAGTCCCAAACCAATATGTTAACAGCCGCAACTATGACTCTACCAGGAACGCCGAGCCTAGAAGGCCTAATCTGCAACGCCCAAGAATGATGTCTACGAAGAGAGCTAAAGTCCTCCTAGGCAGTGGGAACTATTTCCACTGGGAGTAGAGCATGCGCATAGCCTTGGCAAGGAAGGGGCTTCTGGCGCATGTTCAAGTGGTCAAGCCCAAGAGCGCGATAATTGATGTGTAGATTGTAAACGACGCAAAAGCTCTCGGCATTATTGCTGAAGGCGTGGAGCACCAGCACCAGACCAAGATTTGGAACACCTCGCGTGCCATGGAGGCCTGGGGAACGCTTCGAGAATTCTACAACCGAATGACGCTGCACAATCGTGTTTCGAGGACACGTCGCCTTCATGAGTTCAAGATGGGGAGTGGAACGCCTATGGCCAAGCATCTGGCCACGTTCGACGAGTTAATTGCTGGTCTTCAGACGCTTGAAGGGCCAATGAACGAGGCACGGCAGCTCGTGATACTGCTTAGCAGTCTTCCAGACGAGTACGATCTTATCGCGTCCATCGTGGAGAGCGTGAAAGACGTGACGCTTATCGAGGCTAAGGAGAAGTTGCTCAAGGCATACGAACGCCTCGAGAAGAAGGAGACTACCGCGTAGAAGGCGCTCCAAGTGATCGGAAACGCTAGGCGCTCCAAGGGCGGCCGAGGGAACGTCGAAAGTGGAACAATCAGAGACAGAACGGAACGTTCCAAGGCAAGTGCTTCAACTGTGCCCAAGTGGGCCACATGAAGCGATACTGTCCCGCTAGGAACGATGACAGCAATGGTGAAGCAGTGTTTGCAGCTGCCGTGGATGAGGAACACTCGGTTGGGTGGCTGATTGAGAGTGGTGCGACATCGCACATGACCCCTCACAAGAAGGTCTTTGTCGAGTTCAAGGACCTGGACACTGGCATCGAGGTGACAAACGTCGACGGCAAGAAGTTGCGCGTCGAAGGAACGGGAACGGTCAGCTGACAGGTCTGAACGGAATACGTATTCGTATGGTCGACGTACTGTACATTTCGGGGCTCGACAGACGGTTGCTGTCGGTGGGGAGGCTCGCGGAACGGGTTTTGCGTGCGAAATTCCATTGTTCCACATGTGTGATATGGAACGCCTGTTGTGCGATCACCTCAGGAATGAAGGTTGGCAAGGCGTTCCTACTGGACTGTCAACAAGAAGAAGCACGGATCGTGCAGTACGCTGGGGCTGGGAACGAGTGGGAGCTTTGCCACGCTCGCTTGGGACACCCCAACAAGGAAGCGCTGGCAAATACACAGCGTTCCTCGACCGGTACTTCGCCGGTGAAGAATGGGAATGGCTCTTTGTGCGCAGGATGCATGAAGAAGGTGCAGACGGTGACATCGTTCCCGGCCCAGTCGATGACGAAGACTACGCGTGTGTTGGAACCGGTCCACACGGACGTCATGGGGCGTATGAAAACGCCTTCGAAGAGTGGTGCCAAGTACGTGCTGACGTTCCTGGAAGACTACTCGAGGTATGTCCGTGACGTATTTCATGAAGAACAAGAGCGAAGTAGTCACTAGATTGAAAGCGTTCAAGGCGCTCCACGAAAAGCAATGGGGGGAGTGCATGAAGCGTCCGCGTTCCGACAGCGGAACGGAGTTCGTGAATAAGACGGTCGACGATATTCGCCAACGAAACGGCATCGTGCACCAGCGTACAGCTCCATACAGCCCTCAGTAGAGCGGAGCGGCGGAACGCATGAACCGGACTATCATGGAGAAGGCGCGTAGCATGCTACACTACAAGTACATATCGACAGCATGGTGAGCGGAAGCGGTGGGTACGGCGGTGTACCTCATCTACACGGCAAACTCAGATGTCACGCCATACAAGATGGCGTTCCAAGCAAGACCTCGGATGGATCACTTGCGTGTGTTCGGATCGCAAGGGTACGCTCACGTTGACGACGCGAAGAGAGCAAAGTTCGAACACAATCGTTTCAGGTGCACGCTCCTTGGGTACGGCGAGAACGTTAAAGGGTATCGTGTTTACGACTGCGACGCGTCCATGGTCAAGGTGCCGGGTTCCGTGAAACTGGACGAGCGTGAAATAGGAGGTATTTACGACACACTGTTGCCAGCGCCCACAGCGGTTGTCCAGGTGGCTAAGAACGGCGATGAAGCTGGCGTTCCAACAGAAGTGGAATGCCTAGCCGCTCCAGATGAATCGAAGGAAGAGGTGGGGGAACCTGTCCAAGACGTTTAAATGGACGAGTTGACACTAGAACAGAGTGGAGCGCCTGAAGTGCTGCCTCCTTCAGTGGAACCAAGAACGGCAGGATAAAAGCTGACAGCGAACCACTC